AAAAGAAAAAAGGAGATTGTATAGAAAGGTAAATCCAGTAGTACATCGACGAATGTGCTTAAGGGTAAAGGTGTACGGATATTCTCCTCCTGCATTACACCACTACACCATTTGTGTAACTCTGAAGTTATTTCCAAGGACAAAGTTAAAAACTGCATTCCTGAGGCAAAAACGTATTGTGATGAGCACAGACTCTTCACTCTTTCCCTGATGATGAACGATGTTGAGCATCTTTTCATGTATCTGTTGGCCATCTGGATATCTTCTGCCCATTGACAAATGGGATTATTTGTGGGTGCCTAGGTGGTTCAGTCATTAGGCATCTGACTTTGGCTCAGGTCATCATCTCACGTTCCGTGGGTTCGAGTTCTGTTTGGGTGTGCCCTGCTTCTCTCTCCACCCACCCACCCACCCCCCCGCTCCATCCTGGGATTCTCTCTCTTTCTACCCTCGCTTACTTGCATTTTCTCTCTCTCTCAAATACATACATACATAAATAAATAAACAAACAAACAAGATTACTTGTTTTTTATGGTCGAAGAGAATATTCTCAACAATGTACTTTCCTCCTTTTTTTGGTCTTTAATAATAGAGCTTTTTCTGAGAGGAGTTTGAGATTCACAGCAAAGCTGAGCCGAATGCACACAGAGTTCCCATAGATCTCCTACTCATGCATATGCACAGCCTCCCCCAGCATCAACATCCCCACCAGATGGTACATTGGTTACAACTGATGGGCCTCTATGGACACATCCTTATCACCCAAAGTCCATGGTGTACATTCGGGTTCATTCTTGGTGTCATACACTCTATGCCTTTTGTGAAATGTATGTGATGTGCACCCCCCCATTACAGTACAGAAGAATTTCATTGCCCTTAAAACCATCTGAGCTCTGCCTGTTCGTTCCTTCCTCTCCCCAACCCCTGAGAACCACTGCTCTTCTCAATGTCCCCATAGTCTTGACACTTCCAGAATGTCTGCCACTGAATGCAGAGATCCAGTAAGGCCCCAAGACCCTTAGAGAAGCTGGAGCCACTCAGTGGGAGAAGTCTGGGTTCCTGAATGACTGGATGTGGTCATGGTGCATCATGGACAAGCCACTGGGAGCACCCTGCTCTAGGTCAATGTAACAATTATTTAGAATGTCCAGCAAGGTGGACCAAGTTGTCTATGACATTGTCTAGACACACTAGCTCATGGTGATCACTAAAAGCAGGTGACTTTTATTCCATTTCATGGTCATATTTTTTAAGTTTATTTATTTATTTTTAGAGAGAGCATGCTTATGCAAGTGGGAGAGGGGCAAAGAAGGAGAGAGAGAGAATCCCACACAGGCTCCGCACTGTCAATGCAGAGCCCCATGCAGGGCTTGAACTCACGAAACCATGAAATCACGACTTGAGCCAAGATCAAGAGTCAGACGCTTAACCAACTGAGCCACCTAGGCACCCCAGAGTCAGTTTTAAATTTGCAGGGGCACCTGGGTAGCTCAGTCGGTTACGCGTCTACTGTTGATCTCAGCTCAGGTCATGATCTCACAGTTTCGTGAGTTGTAGCCCCACATCGGGCTCTGTGCTGACAGCGTGGAGCCTGCCTGGGATTTCTCTCTCCTCTCTCTGCCCCTTCCCTACTTTTACTGTGTCTCTCTCTCCCTCAAAATAAATAAATAAACATTGAATTTTTTTTCAATTCTCCACAGACAGTGCACCCATTCTTTGGTTCACTGTGGGAGCACACAGCATCTTCTCCGTCCTGGCCAAGTGCATTGTACTGAGCTGCACTAGTAATAAACCACCATTTTTTAACCCACTGAGATCGTAAAAAGCAAGTAAAAAATTGAAGATATATATGTATTTTGGAGGTAAAGGAAAAAGATCAGAGACTCTAAAATGACCTCTGCAACCAAATGGAATAGATTGCCACTTTGCACTATCTCTGAACAGTGTATTTTCCAAAAATACACAACCCAAAAAACTGACTTTTTGTTTTAAGTTTATTTATTTATTTATGGTGAGAGAGAGAGAGAGAGAAAAGAGAGTCCAAGTGAGCAGGGGAGGGGCAGAGGGAGAGGCAAAGAAAGAATCCCAAGCAGGCTCCACGCTGTCAGTGCGGAGCCCCTCATGGGGCTCAAACTCACAAATGGTGAGATAATGACCTGAGTCAAAACCAAGAGTCAGATGTTTAACCACCTGAGCCACCCAGGTGCCCCTAAAGAATTACTTTTAATTGCATTTTTAATACATACAAATATGCAGTGTGCAGCAATTCTTAAATCCTGTTCTACTCTCTTTTCAGTTTCTCTCACCTCTTTGGTCTTTACTCAGATGTCTCTCTCTCAGTGAGAAAATCTTTGGATTTTTCCGCGTCTCCATGTCGGGCTCAATAGCAGACAGCTGGTTTTACTTATTTGCTTCAGTCTTAAACGTTGCAACATCACATGTCCAGAAGCCAGATTGCATGGGGATGAGGAGTGAATGGAAGGTTAAAAAGCGAACGCTCATTGTCCAAGGTCTTGTGATAGTTGCTCCACATGTTGGTCAACAGAACCTAAGTGTGTTATTTTCTGGAATGTGTTCTCTAAAATAACTGAAGACCGTACATGTTTATGGAAAAACTAAGAGAACTGTCTGACCAGACTCTAGAAAGTGCTTCCACCAGGAATGCTCGTTTTTCAGACACTTCACACTCTCTCCCTCACCCCCTTCAGATATGGGCTGAAACATTACGTCCTCAGTGAGGCCTTTTCCTTTCAGTCTGCTTTGTAATGGTCAAAGCCTATATCGATAGTGCCGCTATCGACTAGGAGTGCCTGGGGCACTCACTGGGCCCAGGGCCACTTGCTTGCTGGTTCACAGACACATTCTAACTGGAGCTTATGTGGTAACTAGTCCAACCCTGCAGTTCTTGTTGTGATTGTAAGGAGCGCCTCCATAAAACCACCAGGGAACCTTAAAAAATGAGGTATATTGCCTCACAGTTGTGGAAGCTAGAAGTCCAAGATGGAGATGTTGGTCGGACCAGGCTCTCCCTGAAAACTCTAGGCCGGGACCCTCCCTTGCCTCTCCCTAGCTGCTGGACACTGCTGACAATCCTTGGGTTTTCTGGCTTGTAGACGCATCACTCTAATCTATGCCTCCACCTTCCCATGGTCTTCTCCCTCTCTGTGTCCCAGTTTCTATCTTATCATCACATTGTTAGGCCACCTGGTGAGGCCCAAGTCCCCAGGGTACACAGAGACACTCTTGTCAGGTAGGACTTGCCAGGGGTTTAAAGAGCTTCTCCCAGGAGCAAAGGGCAAAGGCCACATCTTTCTTTGGGTAAGGGTAGTCCTTTACTACACAAACTTCACTCTGTAAACAGACTCTCCGCGTGATGGAAAAGATGACCACCAGTAGCCCCAAATCGACAGTCTCTCTATTTAGCGGCTGCAGTGGACAAAACTTCTTTCTTCTAATATCCAAACTTCAGTTCTAGAGAAGTTACATAGTTGGGCCCTGCTTGGATCACACGGTCACCTTTTGAGCCAATTACTGTTGCCAAACAATCAAGGAGTATCATGATTGCCCAGATTGGGTTTATGGGTCCATGCCAATGGCTGTGGATTCAAGGTCTATAACCAGGAAAAAAAAAAAAAAAAAGGGAATGAATATGGTCAGGACTTGGTCAATAAATACCAGCTTCCCCGGTCTTTGTCCCCACTTCCAACTTAAGACCAACCAGAGAAGGCCAAACATGTTCCCCTAAGCAATCAAATAGGATGCCCACTTCCGGCCAGCCCGCCTCCAGCTTCCCCCCACCAATAACTTCCAGTCAGAGCACACCTGACATTTTCTCCCTGCCTGTCATTGAGTCCCTGCCAAACACAAGCAATGGTAGCTGATTCCTCAGCTATAGCAAGCTCTGAATTAAAACGGACCCTGGAGCAGAGGCTGGCCTTCTTCAGCTCTGGGAATCAGAGCATCACACCAAACCTTTACCTCGGGCTTTTGCCTCTGGTGCCTGCCTACCCACCTATCCCCAGCCACGTGCAGTTCCTTTCGGCCAGTGACAACGTCACCTCTTTCTCTTCCTCTGAGGAACATAAAATCAGAATGTGAGTGTTTGACAGTAACTTTGCTATAGGGGTGGCTGAATCTGCTGTAATTTTTAAGAAAAGCTTGTATTGTGTTTTTTGGTTTGTTTTTTTTTAATGTAGGCTCCACACCCAACGTGGGCCTCGAACTCACGACCCCAGGATCAAGGGCCGCATGCTTCCCAACTGAGCCAGCCAGAAAATACAAGCCAGGAAGCTTGTATTCCTAATCTTCAATAGTAGCAAACTGCTTTTGACACAGCTCTGCCTTGTGCATTCATTTCCTCTACACTGTTTTTCAATCTTTTTTTTTTTTTTTTTTTTTTTTAAATTTTAGAGAGAGAGAACAATCCGGGGAGGGGCAGAGACAAGGGGAGAGAGAGAATCCCAAGCTGGCTCAGCACTGCCAGCACGGAGTTCAACGCGAGCCTGTCCACCAACCGTGAGATGATGACCTGAGCCAAAATCAAGAGTTGCAGGCTTAACTGACTGAGCCACCCAGACGCCTCACTAAGGAACTTCTAATGATGGAAGACACAGAACTAGTCACTCCTCTTTCCTGGGGAAGTGGAGGTAAGGGAATGATAAACACAACATAATAATAATAATAATAATAATAATAATAATAATAATAATAAATAATGGCATAACAGCAGCACCGTGTTAATTAAATAATTTAAATAAAGTTTAAAAAATGTAAACTCCATGGGGCGCCTGGGTGGCTCAGTCGGTTAGGCGGCCGACTTCGGCTCAGGTCATGATCTCACAGTCCGTGAGTTCGAGCCCCGCGTCGGGCTCTGTGCTGACAGCTCAGAGCCTGGAGCCTGTTTCAGATTCTGTGTCTCCCTCTCTCTGACCCTCCCCTGTTCATGCTCTGTCTCTCCCTGTCTCAAAAATAATTAAAAAACATTAAAAAAATTTAAAAAAAAATGTAAACTCCTATTGGAAGGATGCTGGTATTAGGAATGGGGGGGGGGGGGGGCACGGGTCAGAGCCTTAAAGGAACTCTCTGGGGCAGGCTGGAGAAAATGTGTCAACAACCGCAAAAAGATAAGGGCACAGGTGGTTTAAGCAAGGAATGTAGCACTGGGCTCCTTGAAGCTCCGAGGGAGTTCGCTGGGGGTTTCAGACGCTTCAGTGCGCCCCTGGCACGGAACCGGACCAATTATAGTTTATTTTCTTTCTGTTCTTTACGAAAGGTTAAAAAGAAAGACGATGAAAAAGAAGAGATTTCAATTGAAACATACCAAGCCTGAGAAACACCTCGGGCCGAGAGGAAGGATCTCCGCGCGCGCAGCACTGCTTTTCGATCTTCGGTGGCAAAACCTTGGCACCTCACTTCGCGCATTTTGCCACCAACACCCCGCCTCCAGCCCCAAAGGAGGAAGAGGAGGTTCCCCGAAGCCCACCAGGAAGCTCAGGTGGGTGGAGGGCCAGCGTGGTACCCGAGCCGGGAGCCAGCCTGCTGGGGTCCTGCCGGGAGCCCAGACGAGGGCACAGTTGCGAGGCGCTTGCGCGGCGGCCCCGGGTCGGGGCTTTACGGTAATTGCGCGGCGCGCCAGCCCCGCCCTCGTGCGCAAGCGCGGGGCCGTTGTGGCTGAGCGGTTGCGAACCCGGCCGTCTCCCGGAAGGGCTCGCGGAGGCGGTGGGCCGCGCAGGTTCGGAGGCCGGCCGGGCGGCTCGGCCCAGCCTGAAGCCCCTGCGTCCGCCGCCCGCGGTGTCCTCGGTAAGTCGACGGCCCTGCCGGAGTCCGGGAAAGCCCACTGCGCGGTGCCGGGGTCTGGGACGTGGCGGGTGGGACCGACGAGTTGGCACTACACGGGAATGTCAAGGCTAAGGGATTCCAGTGAGATGTGGCGCATCTCTTTTTGGGGGGGCTGGGAGGACTGGGCTTCAGCAACGTGGTGTATCCCCTAGAAGTCCGTGCCTGTAGCCCAGTTTGTCCCTACACGGCCTGGACCAGGAACGGCCCCGGGGAGCCTGGATGCTCAGTTTCGCTGGCAAGGGCATGCGCAGTTCACACCAGCGCACCTGCCCTAGGTCCGCAGCCCTCCGGACCTGTTAGATAGGACCTGTCTTACCCCACCAGGAATTATCCTGAGACCAGCGTTTCCTCCCACTGCAGTAGTGATGAGGAGGTTGGAATTGTGGTTGCCCTCAGACCCTTTTTCTTTGAGGCCTGTCTGGCGATCATGGCTGCCAGCAGTCTCCCAGTCCTAAGCTCTAACAGTCCCAAGATGGCTTCTGATATCCAGCAAGATTTGGCTGCTCTAGTAACTTTGCTTTGAAACTGGTTGGACCCTGACAGCCCGGTGTCTTTCCCAGAGGCCCCACCTGTGTCCCGGGCTATCCCTACATGGCCCACAGTGTGGTGCCTGTCTGCAGATATGCAGGACTTACAGTCCTGGAAAAGGGACCATCCCAGGGGAAGCCGAGACCGGAAAGAGCCCATTGGTAGGGCTGGAGCTCTGGCCCTGGAGGCTAGGCCCCCGGCACAGGTCACGGGCTGGAGTTCTCCTGAGGCCAGATGGCAGCCGGTGGGAGGGGGTCCCAAAGCCCTGGCCCAAAGCCTGAAGGTGTTGGAGGTGCGGGTTGGAGGGGAAGGGGGAGGGAGACCATGGGGCACCCTGGACATTTTGTGTAAAGTTCAAAGCAAGTTGTCTCTGTCCCCTGCCCCCATCCCCCATTCTCTCATGCAGGAAATTGCTTGAGGCTGTAAACCTTGCTTCCCTTCCAGGGGTAGAAACTGGACATAGTCTCCAGTGGAATCTCCCCCAGGAGATTACATCCAGGGTAGTTTTCTTGGGCCTGTTCAAAACGACACTTTCATTTTCCTGATCCCTAGGATCTGTCGACATGAATCCCGTCATCGTGGTCCACGGTGGCGGAGCCAGTAATATCTCTAAGGACAGGAAAGAGCGGGTGCGTCAGGGCATCATGAGAGCTGCTACCGAGGGTTACAAAATCCTGAAGGACGGAGGGAGCGCAGTTGATGCTGTGGAAGGAGCTGTGACCATCCTGGAAGATGATCCTGAGTTCAACGCAGGTAAACTTGCACTGCAGTTAGTAAATGATGCCAAATCAAGTTAATCTTCTCCCCCCTAAATACATCGAATCTAAAGTGTCAATCTAAGAAGCTTTTCAGTATAACTTCATATTTTAAGTTGACCAAGTTGCTTTAAGAATTTTTTAAATTCAGGGTTGCCTGGGTGGCTCAGTCAGTTGAGCGTCCAACTTCACTGAGGTCGTGGTCTCCAGGTTTGTGGGTTCCAGTGCCGCATCGGGCTCTGTGCTGACAACTCAGAGCCTGGAGCCTGCTTCAGATTCTGTGTCTGCCTCTCTCTCTGCCTCTCTCCCGCTCATACTCTGACTCTCTCTCTCTCTCTCAAAAATAAATAAACATACATACATACATAAAAGTAAAATAGAGAACCTGAAATCTAGGGATTAAAATACTTTGGGGGATGATACCCACCTGCCCAACATCTGTCAGAGAAAAGAATTTCAGGAAATCTGAACCAGTTAGTCATCAAATATTTCCTGAGTCTTGTTCATCCCCTTGCTTCTGCGCTCTTGAACGCTTACACAAAATTTCTGAAGTCTGCCTGACCATAGAATGAGGCATAAGTGCATCGTTATGGCTCTGTTGGTTGAGCCAGAATTTACCAGATGCTACTCCTTGCCAGCAGGAGGAGTGGCTTGCTGTTTCAGAGGGAGGCTTGTTAAATTACATACAGTTAGCAGTCAGGGCCCTCTGGCTGACAGAACACCCACTTATTCACAAAGGACTTTGATTTGGAACAGGTCTTCTGGTCTCCCACCCTCTCTAAACTACCAGGATCAGTCATCTGCATGAACTGGGAAGTATGAATTCAGAATTGGAGTGGCTAGTTCTCATCTCTTTGCCCTGTACCAGAGCCTGCCATTCTAAGTGACTTGCTTCTACTCTCCCAGGTGTCTGCTCTGCAGCACATTAAGGGAAAAGAGAGTGGAATCATGCAATACATGGCCTTTTGAGTCTGACAACATGTAGCTTTTGGAGTCTGGATTCTTCATGTAGCATAATGCGTTGGAGGGCCATCCGCGTTGACACAAGTACGAATAGTCCATCTGTTTTTACTGTTGAGTAGTATTCCATTGTATGGATATACCACAGTGTCAGTCATTCACCAGCTGAAGGACATGGTCGATTTGGGGCCATTACAAATCACTATAAACAATTACGTACAGGTTTTTGTGTGAATGTAAGTTTTTGTGTCTCTTGGGTTAATATGGAAGTTGGTCATGTGGCAAGTATATATTTAACTATTTGAAACTGCCAAACTGTTTTCCAGAGTGACTCCCACTTCCATTCCCACCAGCAGCGTATGAAGGCTCTAATGACTCCACATCCCCACAAGCACTTGGTATTGTCAGTATTTTTTATTTTAGCCATTGTCATAGAGTGTGGTGGGACCTCGTTCTGGTGGTAATTTCTGGCAAATGATGTTTATTTTAACATCTTTTCAAGTATTTTGTCAACTTCTCTATTGCGTTTTTTATTATTATTGAGTTTTAAGAGTTCTTTATATAGTCTAGATGCTGGTATTTTATTAGATACGTGATTTGCAGATATTTTCTTCCAGTCTGTGGCTCGTCTTTTCTTTCTCTTAGCAGTGTCTTTCAAAGAACAGAAGTTTCTTATTTTGTAGGAATCCCATTTTTTTAATAATTTTTTTTAATGTTTATTTACTTTTGAGAGAGAGCGTGAGCAAGGGAGGGGCAGAGAGAGAGGGAGACACAGAATCCGAAGCAGACTCCAGACTCTGAGCTGTCAGCACAGAGCCTGATGCAGGGCTCGAACCCACAAACTCCAAGATCGTGACTTGAGCCAAAGTTGGACACTCAACCAGTTGAGCCACCTAGGCGCCCCTGGAGGAGTCCCATTTTTTAATGGATTGTGCTTTTTGTGTCATACCTTAAGAAATATCTGCCTAACCCAGGGTCACAAATGTTTTCTCTTACGTGTCTTCTAGAAATTCTATAGTTTTAGGTTTTATATTTAGGCCTCAGATCCAATTTTAATAATTTTTTGGCATAAGGTATGAGTTATATGTCAAGGTTGTTTCTGCATGATTGTTCCAGTACCAGTTGTTGAAAAATCAACGTTTCTCCATAGAATTGCCCTTCCTCCCTTGTCAAAATCAGTTGACTTTATATGTATGGGTCTATTGGTGGATTCTATTCCCTTGGTCTGTATGTGTAGCCTTTCACCAATACAACACTGTCTTGATTACTATAGTTTTATATTAAGTCTTAAAATCAGGTAGTAAGAGTCGTGTGTGTGTGTGTGTGTGTGTGTGTGGGAGAGAGAGAGAGAGAGAGATTGTTTTGACTATTCTAGTTCCTTTGTCTTTCCCACAGATTTGAGAATCACCTTGTCAAGTTTTTACCAAAAAATAAAAAAAAATCTTGCTAGGATTTTCGGTAGGACTGTGTTGACTCTATAGATCAGTTTAGGACAAACTGACATCTTAACAAGACTGAGCCTTTCAATCCAATACTTCCAAACCACAGTATAAACTTCCATTTATTTAAATCTTTGATTTCTGTGGCGCCTGAGTGGTTCAATCAGCTAAGCATCTGACTCTTGATTTCAGGTCAGGTCATGATCTAACACTTCGTGAGATCAAGCGCCGAGTCAGGCTCCATGCTGAGAGTGAGAACGCTCCTTGGGATTCTCTCTCCCTTTTTCTCTGCCCCCCTGCCCCACACTTTCATGCTGTCTCTCAAAGTAAATTAAACATTTAAAAAATAAAAATAAAAAAAGTAAATCTTTTATTTCTTTCATCAGTGTTATGTAGTTTTTAGCATGCATATCTTACAAATGCTTTGTTAGATTTATACTTCTTCCATGTATTTTGGTGTTACTGTAAATGCTTTTTTTTTTTTTTTTTAAGAGAGAGAGAGAGAGAACATTCTAGTGGGGGAAAGGGGTAGAGGGTGAGAGAGAATCTCAGGCAGGGTCAGTGCTGTCAGTGCAGAGCCCCATGCAGATCTCATGAACTATGAGATCATGACCTGAGCCAAAATCAAGAGTCGGTTGGCCGCTCAACTGGCTGAACCACCCAGGTGCCCCTGTAAATGCTACTTTTTAAGATTACAGTTAGCAGTATGTGTTGCTAATATATGAAAATACAGTTGAGTTTTTTTCATACTTGCCATCTGTAGATTTTCTTTGGTGAGGTGTCTGTTAAGATCCTTGTCTGATTTTTTAATCAAGGTGTTTTCTTATTATTGAGTTTTAAGAGTTCTTTGTGTATTTTGGATAACAGGCCTTTATGAGATGTGCCTTTTACAAATATTTTTCCCAGTCTATGGCTTGCCTTCTCATTCTCTTGATAGTGTCCTTCATACGGCAGAAATTTTTTGTTTTAATGAAGTCCAGCTTAATTTCTTTCTTTCATGGATGGTGATTTTGGTGTGGTATCTAGAAAGCCAAACCCAAGGTCATCTAAACCTCCTCCTGTGTTATCTTCTAGGAGTTTTATAGTTCTGCATTTTACATTTAGATCTGTGACCCATTTTGAGTGGTTTTCGTGAAAGGTGTAAGGTCTATGTCTAGATTCGGCTCTTTTGCATATGAGTGCCCAGCACTATTGTTCAAAGACTTATCTTTTTTGCTGCATTGGATTGCCTTTGTCCGAAGACTCAGAACCCAATTCCAGTGTGTGTGAGTTTTCCCACACCAAGCACTTTTCCTACACCAGCTGGGTATCCTACAATTCAGCTCATTTCTGACACTATCTACCTGGACATAGCATCAGATTCCACAGGTCAAGGGCTCAGTCCCACCAGACTGTGCTCCACTTCAGACACCACCTATAAATTCAGGTTGTTCCTTGTGCTTCTCACCTACTGGCTATAAATCAGAGGTTCCCACGACCCCCTCCTTGGGTTCAATCAGTTGCCAGAGAGGCTCACAGAACTCAAGAAACCAGTTTACTCATTAGATCACCAGTTTATTACAAAAGATACAAATCAAAAGCAAGATGAAGGAGTACAGAGACAGGTGCCCAACAAAGGAACTTCTGTCTCCTTGAAGTTTGGGGCCTGGCACAGTGGCACATGGAAGCATTCTGGTTCTAACCCGGAAACTGTTCAGACCATATCCTTTTGGGTTTTCATGCCAGCTCCATTACATAGACATGGTTAATTAAGTTCTTGGCCACTGGTGACTGATTCAACCTCTAGTCTTTCTCCCCTCCCTGGAAATCGGGGACTGGACTGAAAGTTCTAACCCTCCAGCTATGGTTGGTTCCCTTGGCAACCAGCCCCCCCCCATCTTTAGAGGGTTTCCAAAAGTCACCTCATTAACATAAACTGAGCTATGGGTGAAAGCAGCTTGTCATGCGACAAGATATCCATTTCACCTTTGTGACACTGAAGTGATTTATGGAACTGAGGACGAAAGACCAAAAGTCGTAATAAAAGATCCTCCCATTGCACTCAACCCCTAGGAAATTCCAAGGGTTTTGGGAGCTGAGAGCCGGGAACCATGGGCAAAGACCAAAACATGTGTTTGTTATAAATCACGATGTCACAACTCCTTTGTCACAGATCATTTTACCATATATGTATGTGGGTCTGTTTCTGGGCTCTCTGTTCTGGCCCATTGATCTATTTGTCCTTCACCAATACCACACTTTCTTGATTACCATTGCTTCATAGTAAATGTCATCTGCAAATAGAGACCGTTTTGTTTCTTCTTTTACAGGCTTTATGACTTTTATTTATTTTCCTTGCATATTCCTCTGGCTAGACCATCCAGTGTTAGGTTGAATAGGAGTGGTGAGAGCAAACATCCTGTGCTAGTCCCAATTTTAAGGGGAAAGTCTTTCACCATTAAACAGAACGTTGGTTGTAGGATTTTATGGATTCCCTTTATCGGGTTGGGGAGGTTTCCTTATTCTTAGTTTCCCAAGACTTTCTATCAGGTATGAATGTTGAAGCTTATCACATCCTCTTTCTGCATTATTGAAATGACCATATGGTTTTTCTTCGGTCTGTTGATATGGTGGATATCGATTGATTGGTTTTCGAATTTTGAACCAGGCTTGCATCCCTAGGGTTAACACCCCTCTGTCATTATGTGTTATCTTTTTTATTTATTGCTTGATTAGATTTGATAGTGTTTTCTTAAGGATTTTGCATCTGTGTTCAAGAAAGATAGTGATCTGTGGTTTTATTTTCTTCTAACATCCATCTGGCTTTGTTAGGAGGATAATGTTGGCTTCAAATGATGAATTGGAAAGTACCCCTCCTCTTCTGTTTTGCTTGAAGAGTTTGTATAAAATCAGTATTATTTCTTTGTAAAAGTTTGGTAGAATTTGCTAGTGAAGCCATCTGGGCCTGGAATTTCTTTTGGCTTTTTGTTTTGCTTTAATGGAAAGTTTTTTGCTAAGAAATCAATTTCTTCATTAGGTGTGGGACTATTCAAGTTATGTTGCTTCTTTGAGTTTTTTATGTTTTTCAAGGAATATTGCTATTTTGAATAAGATTTTGAATTTATAGGCTTAAGAGTTATTTGCAATATGTCTTTATTTTTTAATGTCTGTAAGGTTTGTAGAGAGGTCCTCTCTTTCATTCTTGATTATTTGAATTTCTGTCTTTTCAGGGCGCCTGGGTGGCGCAGTCAGTTAAGCGTCCGACTTCAGCCAGGTCACGATCTCGCGGTCCGTGAGTTCGAGCCCCGCGTCAGGCTCTGGGCTGATGGCTCGGAGCCTGGAGCCTGTTTCCGATTCTGTGTCTCCCTCTCTCTCTGCCCCTCCCCCGTTCATGCTCTGTCTCTCTCTGTCCCAAAAATAAATAAAAAAACGTTGAAAAAAAAAATTTGAATTTCTGTCTTTTCTTCTTGGTCAGTCTAGCTAGAGTTTATCAAGTTTTTCTTTTGTTTCTTTTTCAAAGAACAGTAGCTTGTGGTTTTAGGAGGGTTTGCAGATTTTGAATTGTTTTTTCTCTCATTCTTTTTCTCTTCGGAATCTAAATGATTTATCTCTGTTATTTCCTTTCTTCAGCTTACTTTGGAAGTAATTTACTGTTCTCTTTAGATCATAACTTGAGACCAGTCTTTTCTAATACAAGCACTTAATGCTTTAAATTTTCCTGTAAGTCCTGCTTTGATTGCATCCTACAAGTTTCCACATGTCTCTTCATTTTCATTCTGTTCAAAACATGTTATAATTTCCCTTGTGACTTCTTCGTTGAAGCATGGTTTATTTACAAGTGTGATAATTTCAGTGTATTTGTGGATTTTCCAAATATCCTTCTCATTTTTATTTTAATTATGTGACAATCAAAGGACATATTTTGTGTGATTTACATTCTTTTGAACTTTGTAAGGTTTGGTTTTTGGCCCAGAATATGGTCTGTCTTGGTAAATATTCCATTTGCATTTATAAGAATATGTACTCTGCTATTGTTTATTGAAAGTTACATAAATTTCAGTAAGGTCCAGTTGGTTGATAACGTTATTTGAATCTTCTACACCTTGATTTTCTATTTCTGTTGATTCTTGAGAGAGGAATGAGGAGGTCTTTAATTGTAATTGTGGATTTCGCGATTTCTCTTCTCCTTTGACTTCATCAGTTTTGCTTCATATGCTTAGAAATTGTTGTTAGATACACAGACTGCTGTCTTCTGTGTGAACTGATCCCTTCATCACTATGTAATGTCATTATTATTTAACATTCCTTGTCCTAAAGTCTACTTTGCCTGATACTAATCTAGCTGCTCACACTTTCATTTAATTCATTTGAGCATTGCATAGCTTTTTCTGTTCTTTTACTTTTAACCTATTTGTATCTTTATATTTAAAGTGGATTTTTTTCAGGAGGACATAGTTGTATCTTACCTTTTTATGCAATTTGACCATCTCTTCTTTTTATCAGGGTGTTTACACCATTTACATTTAATGTGATTATTGATACGATCAGGTATAAATCTGTCAATCTTGTTATTTGTTTTTTATTTGTCCAATCCATTCATTGTTCCTTTTTTTCCTCTTCTGTCATCTTTTGGGACAATTGAGTGTTGTTTATGATTCTGTCTTCTTTTGTTGGCCTAGTAGCTAGACAGTTTTTTAAGGGTATTTTAGAGTTTATACTATACCTCTCTCATTTGTCACAGTTTGCCTTCAAGTAATATCATACTTCACGCATAGTGTAAGAATCTTATAACAGCATACTTGTTTTCCCTCTGCTAGCCTTCGTGCCATTATTGTCATGTATTTTACTTCTGTGTATGTTATAAATTGCCTAATACGTTGTTATTATTTTTCCGTTAAATTGTTATATTTTAAAGATATTGTTAAAATAAAGGGGAGGGGCGCCTGGGTGGCGCAGTCAGTTGAGCGTCCGACTTCAGCCAGGTCACGATCTCGCGGTCCGTGAGTTCGAGCCCCGCGTCGGGCGCTGGGCTGATGGCTCAGAGCCTGGAGCCTGTTTCCGATTCTGTGTCTCCCTCTCTCTCTGCCCCTCCCCCGTTCATGCTCTGTCTCTCTCTGTCCCCAAAATACATAAACGTTGAAAAAAATAAAATAAAATAAAATAAAGGGGAAAAAGTATTTCTGCTTATCCACATACTAGCCATTTCCAGTGCTTTTCATTCCTTGGTGTGGATCATGACTGTTGTCCACTGTCCTTTTCCTTTTTCCTGAAAGACTTCCTTTAACATTTCCTGTATTGCACGTCTTCTACGGGTGAATTCTTTCAGCTGTTGTGTATCTGAAAAAGTCTTTGTTTTCAGTTTTTGAAAGATACTTTCACTAGGTATTAAATTCCAACTTGACAGGTTTTTTTGGGGGGGGCGGTTGTTGTTTTTAATTTCAGGACTTTAAAGATGTTGCTCCACTGTCTTCTGGTTTGCATCATTTCTGACAAGAAATGTATTCTCATTCTCATCTTTTTCTCACTTCCTAACGTGTCTCGCTCTATCTACTTCTAAGATTTTCTATCTCCGGGCTCTTGGGTGGCTCAGTTGGTTAAGTGTCCAACCTTGGCTCAGGTCATGGTCTTGCCGTTGGTGAGTTCAAGCCCCATGTCAGGCTCTGTGCTGACAGCTCAGAGCCTGGAGCCTGCTTCAGATTCTGTGTCTCCCTCTCTCTCTCTGCCCCTCCCCTGCTCATGCTCTGTTTCTCTCTCTCTCTTTCTCAAAAATAAGTAAATATGAAAAAAAAATTTTTTTTTAAGATTTTCTATCTGATTAGACCAAGATGTTTGATCATAATGTGCCTGCATGTAGTTTTCTTCATGTTTCTTTTGCTTGGAGTTTATTGAGCTTCTCAGATCTGTGAATTTACAGTATTAATCAAATTTGATATTTTTGTATATATTTTTTTTCTTAAATATTTTGTTGTCCCTCTGTCTCCCCTCTCCTTTTAGAGACTCCAATTATATACATAGAGTGGGTTGCTTGAAATTGTCCCCAAGCTCAGTGATCCTCTGTTTGGTGGGTTTTTATCCTTTCTTCTTTTTCATTTTGGATAGTTTCTATTGCTATCTCTTCATAGTCATTACTATTTTCTGCTGTTGTGTCTTACTTTGTTTTAATCCCATCCAGTGTATTTTCCACTTGAGACTTTTTTTTTCATCTCTAGAAGTTCTGTTTGGGTCCTTTTTATGTTTTCCTCCATGTCCTGGTACATATAGAATATAGTTATAACAACTGTTTTATTAACATCTTTGTCTACTAATTCTGTCATTTATGTCACTTATGATCCATTACTATTAAGTGGGTTCTTTTTCCTCCCTATTATGGGTCATATTTTCTTATTTCCCTGTGTGCCTGGAAATTTCTTACTGGATACCAGACATTGTAAATTTTACCTTTTAGGTACTGGATAGTTTTATAATCCTTTAAATATTCTTGAGCTTTGTTCTTATCCCATTTTACAGATGAGGAAACAGGCACAAGAGGTTAAGCATAGCTAGACTCATAGGCATTATCTAGGCAAAAAAAAGTTGGAGAAAGCATGCTGGTGGTAAGGGGAAGAGCATGCACAAGAGCCCAGAGTAGTGGGAACTTACGATACTTTCAGGGAAACCTGGTGTTTCAGTAAAATGTAGCCAAGGAGGGGAGATAAAACCAGCAAAGGAGATCAGAGACCAGATCAGGGTTTCATCCTTTTTATTTTGTAAGTAATGGGGCACCAAGCCAGATTTGTGTTTTCAAACATGCTTCTCTGGCAGCAAGTAGAAGATGAATTGAAGTTGGCAGCTTAGGGACGCCTGGGTGGCTCAGTCGGTTGAGCATCCGACTTCGGCTCAGGTCACGATCTCATGGTTCATAAGTTCAAGCCACGTGTCAGGCTTGTTGCTGTCAGCACAGAGCCCACTTTGGATCCTCTGTCCCCTTCTCCCTCTGCCCCTTCCCCGTTTGTGCTCTCTCTCTCTCAAAAACAAAACATTTTAAAAAATAAAAAATAAACAAAGTCAGCAGCGTAGAAGAAACCTGGGAGTCATTTCTAAGTTCTTGATTATTGCTTTTCAACTTCTCTTTGGTTTTAGGTTGTGGATCTGTCTTGAATGTAAATGGTGATGTGGAAATGGATGCTAGTATCATGAATGGAAAAGACCTGTCTGCAGGAGCTGTCTCTGCAGTCCAGGGCATAGCAAATCCCATTAAACTTGCACGGCTTGTTATGGAAAAGGTATGTGACTAAAGCATCCTTTTTTGCAAGAAATTGCTACCGCCATACTTCAGTGACTAAATAGGACTTTTTAAGTACTTTAGTACTTCAGTGACTAAAATTTCCTGCTCTAGGGAAATGCTTGCAAGCACTGTTCTCCTAAAGTCATATAAAAGAACAGAAGCAATCTATTTAAATTTGTCAAATAAGCCAAGACTCCAACTCTGTTGACAGTGTAGTTTGACTAGTAATCCCTTGACAGTGATTACTGTTTTCATGTTGTCTTCCTGTATTTTCTTCAGTTTTCTCTCAATGCATATGACTTAACACATACAAACGGAACAGACCTTGTTTAATAGCATGTGTTAAATTGGGGCGCCTGGGTGGCTCAGTCAGTTAAGCGTCCGACTTTGGCTCAGGTCATGATCTTACAGTCCGTGAGTTCAAGCCCCGCGTCGGGCTCTGTGCTGACAGCTCAGAGCCTGGAGCCTGCTTCAGATTCTGTGTCTCCCTCTGTCTGCCCTTCCATTGCTTGCACTCTGTCTCTCACATTGTCTCAAAAATAAATAAACATTTTTTTTTTTTTAAATTCAAAAACAAATAGCGTGTGTTAAATAAAAATGAATTCTGTTCTCTAAACTTAAGATCCTAGTAATATTCCATCATTTGGGGGTTTTTTTGAAAATACAAAATCTCGAGAGCGCCAGGCTGCTCAGCATTTGGAGAAGCAAGCCAGTGGAATTTGCACTTTTGAGGTTTTATACCCAGAGAGAACTAATTATAGCCATACAATTGAAGCAGTTAAGAAGATTTTAACTGTTTCAGAAATCTAACCATTTCCCATTTCTTTCTGGCTGAAGACAACTCATTGCTTTCTGACTGACCAAGGTGCAGCAAAATTTGCGACAGCCATGGGGATTCCCACAGTTCCTAAAGAGCAGCTGGTGACAGAGAGAAACATAAAACGCCTAGAGAAAGAGAAGCATGAGAAAGGTGCTCCAAAGCCAGACTGTGAAAAGTAAGTGTATCTGCGGCTCACAGTCTGGGGAGTTACTCGACTGTGGAAGTTTGACTAATCTCTGATTATCTACAGTTCTTAAATAAGTCAAGAATCACTTGGTAGTTTCAGTGTTTGTACAAAATAATTCATAGTACAGAATGGAAACACTGCTCTTCTGACTCTTAAACTTGACCTCATTTATTACTTCTGTGAATAACCACTCAAATTAGGCCGAGACTTCCTTCTCCAAGATGACTGAATGGAAGAGCGCCTTGTGTTAATGTGTTAACTACTGGATGCTTCTTGATCAGTCTGTTATTGAAAGCAGACCAGGCAGGCTCTCTATGATCTATCCTCTGAAGTTACTTAACACTCTGTCCTAGTACAGAGAAATCAGGACAGCTCTTACAAGTTTCAATTAGTCATATGCTCTGAATTACGGTTTTCTATATTAGATTTCAAAATCCCAAATAAAAGTCCCCTTATTCAAAGCAACATTTGAAAAGTAAAATTTGAATATGGCCTGGCAGTTTGTAATGGGATATAATCTATTAACCCTGCATACTCTCTAAGATTTATCATTTTTAACCAGCGGTATACTTTAATATCGCCTAGGGAGCTTTTTCACAGTACGCACGTCTGGCCCACCTCTGCAAAGAATCTAACCTAAGAGGTCAGAAGTGAAGAGGCCAGGCAGGTGTGTTAGGAAAAAGTGTCCAGGTAATCCTGATGTGTCCCCAGCTTAAGAATCTATTTTGCACAATTGGCCATATATTGGTAGCTGTTGATAACCAAGTGTGTGGTTGTACGTACCTGTAAGCTGGAGTCACAGGAATGGGGTTGCTTTATTGATGGTTCGTGGGTGTTTTAATACATGTTGCCACATTGCTTTCCAAAAATTCTTCAATAGCACACCTCTCCACCAGCCATCATCGCCCCTAGATATAAGCAAGAGAGACCCTGCCCCGGGATCTACACTTCAGAGCACCCCCATGTCACAAATACACAAAACAGTTGGCTTATTACAGTCACCTGGGGCGCCTCTGTCACTCAGCAGTGGCCTGCATGACCCATAACCCTCATCATCCACTCTTGTGATTAACACCATTCAGCCCCCAGGGAAATGCTTCTGTGCATCTTGCTCTGTGTCTTGGAACCAAAGAGCACCTAAATCTAAAGCTTTGTGGACTGTGCCACTGCTGATACCAGAAATGGACACTGCTTCGGAGTGGGGGAAGAATGGAGCAACAGAAGGACTTAGGTAAGAGAAAAAGACAAATTAATAACTTGTCAAACAAATTCTTAAGCAACAAAGTGTTGTTTCCCAGTAGTGCCACATATTCAGTTTCCTGCCTCCTTACATGTTTTATGCTGTGGTTCTGGCGGGATTCATGATTCGTGAATTAGTACAATGTCTGTGAGACTCGCACATGAGGACTGATTGCCGTGACTCTTAAATTCGCGAGTATGTAGGCCTAGACCAGCACGGTCCAGTAGAAAGACAAGGGCTACATTTGTAGCCACGTTAAAAATCCTAAAAAGAAACAGGTGAACTTAATATTGTTTAACCCAGTATATCCAAAGAACCATATCAGCATGTAATCAATATAAGAAATTATTTGAGATATTTTACATTCTTCTTTCATGCTAAATCTTCAAAACCTGCCCCGTATGTTACGCCTGCGGCCCATCTCCCTGGGGGCTGCCCACGCTTCCGGAGGCCAGGGGCACAGGTAGCTCGCACCTGCCGCATTGGACAGTGAGGGTCTGGACAGAACCCGTGTGAGGAACCAGCTCTTTATGTTGGCAGCTGAGTGGACGCTGAATGTTAGAATTCGGAATGGTTTTATTCTTGTAATATGTTAACATTTTCAACATTTAAGTAGTTTTGTTTCAAAATCTTGTATTTGCTAAGGGTAATTCATGTCTGACTTTAATATTGATATTTACTATAAATAGATAATTTGGCATATTTCAAGATACACTTGAAAGTGTATCTGCACTTCATTTATATTGATTCAGTTTTATTTGCTCTTCATGTTTGATGAAAATACATCCTAATTTTGTACACTTTCAAGACAATCACGTCTTTTTTAATCCCTAGACAATTGAAAATGCGTGTTAAGTCAAGATTTTGATACGAAAAAGAATACAAAAGTGGAACTCACAAAGGAAAACAAAAAGCTGAAAGGAAAAAAAGGAAAACAATCTTCCAGGACACACTCCGTGTGCATTTTAAAAAACAAAACAGTAAAGTAAGCGGCCTCCTTCCAGGACAATCCACTGAAAGTTCACAAGCAGGACATTCCAGCTTCTTGGTTCAATGAAGATTTAATTACCCATCAAGACAGTGAAAATTAACGAGCATAGTATTCTTGCTACATCCTCAATCTGAGTAGTTCAGATGAAATCCCAGCAGTGTCACATTCTGGACTAAAGGAAGATGATGTCATTGCTCATCATGAAGATTCACACACCGAAAGGACGCAATTACTAGGATTGGAGGAAACAGGCAATAGATGAGAGCACAAAAAGGAAAAGACGACATGGAACATGGATGTGAGGTTCTTGGAAGAGTAATACCGCGTGTCCAGTATTTAGCGAGGGCGGATGATGCTTTGCATGGCACTCCGTCAGCACAGTGTTGACAGAACCCAGTAGAAAATTTCTGGGCTTGGTAAAAATTATTTCAAAAGTTGATGAAACACCGAACATGTAATTAAGACAAAAAATAACGAAACTAATATGGTCACTGTCTAGGATAGAGAATTCAGACAGATTTTTTTTTTTATGTTGTTTTTTTTTTAGTTTTTTTGTTTTTGTATTCTTGAGAGAAAGAGACAGAGCATGAGCGAGGGAGGGGCAGAGTGAGAGAGGGATGCAGAATCCAAAGCAGGCTCCAGGCTCTGAGCTCAGACAGATTAATTTAGTGGGTAATAAGAGATGAAATCAAATACATAAATTTTTTTTAACAAAATACTCTGTTCAGCTAGAATGTACCATGGTCAGAAGACCTCTTGAGCAGCTAACATTTATTATATGTATCACTATGCTAGCCAGCGAAGAAAAACAAGTCAAAGTCAGTGGACGTTTTATTGGCTTTATACCTGCTTTTTGAAGTAGGTGTTTTGGATTAAGAGAAGTGGAAAACTTTCCATCTTGGTCGTGAGTTTAAAAGACTTTCAAGGGGCACCAGGGTGGCTCTATCAGTTAAGCATTGGACTTTTGCTCAGGTCATGATCTTACTGTTTGTGAGTTCGAGCCCCACGTCAGGCTCTGTGCTGACAGCTCAGAGCCTGGAGCCTGCTTCGGATTCTGTGTCTCCCTCTCTCTCTGCCCCTCCCCTGCTCACATTCTGTCTCTCTCTCTCTCTCTCTCAAGAACAAATAAACATTAAAAAAAAAATTTTTTTTTAAAGACTGTCAAAAGCAAACCTGTGATAATGGAGTTAACATGGTTGGTAAATAAAAGATACCATGAAGTTTGGCCAAGAATCCAGAAGTATTCCATGTGACAGGTAGGCTCACAGTTTAAATCTCTTTCTAGAAGGTGTGCCCTTGCTGTGCCGACAGCATCAATGTTGTGGGACAGGAGAGGGTCTGATCTGAGAATCACATTGATAAAAAGAGTTCAGTGAAACCACACAAGATCCTCAAGGAGAAAATTATGGACTTTGACAGTGAAATTAATTTTGAATTTATGCTCTCTATAGTCACTTAGTAGGAACTGTTCATTTCTATTGATAAGCTTAATAAAACCTTTAAAAATCTTTTTGGCTGTTTTACGTCTAAAAGGATTGAAAACGTGAAGTTTAGGGAAACAAAATCAAACTGGATGTGAAGTAAGCGAGAAAAATGACATTCCAATAAGAGGAAACCGAAAGAAGGAAGCAAAAATACTTGTGTGACTTGAAGGAGAAGATTCGTGTACAAATAACCCCAAGACCAGCTCCCATAGAGGCTGTTTTTCTGTTTATTACGTATCAGAGTATCATTTGAAGAGAGATTTGCATACAGTCAAAGAACATACTTGTGCTTTAAGATTTTGTATAATACGCCGAAGATACTCTGCGTGGATCTAGATTCCTGTTTAAGGTGACAGAAACGACTACAGCAAGCGATTGTGATTTATTTGATCAGATTAAAATATTTAGTAGAATCTTCTGTTACAGCATTTTACCACATGCTGCCCTCGAGCATGTGAGCATGCCAGTGTTCAAATCGGGAGGCGCTTCCAAATCCAAGGATTGCTTGAGGAATTTTGTCGGTCATTCCAGCTGCTACTGCCTCAGCAGAGTGAAGCTTCGCCAAATTAAAATTAATTAAAAACCTGCTAAGAACTACACCTACTCAAAAAGATCTGTCTTATCTGGCAGTCGGTCAACAGAACAGAATGTAGTACGGACATAGAGCTACAAGAGCAACGGCTTCCCAAACTGAAAGCAAAGCAGGAGAGCCAGTCTTGTGGAGTAGACACGCAATCACTTACCGGGGCGGGGTGTGTGTGTGTGTGTGTGTGTGTGTGCGCACACATCTCTTTTTCCCATCATCCAGCCATCAACAGAGAACCCAGATGGGCACGATCATAATGAATTTAAGTCACCGCTGGTAGTTTGCCAACTTTCAGCCACACAAGAGCCATAGCTTTACAATATTTTTAAAAGCCGATGCATCGCTCTAAGAGAATAGAACGTATTTACAACTTCCTAGAAGTAAACATGGGGTATGGGCCTCCATTTGTATTTGTAATCTTGCCTCAACGTGGGTCCGCCACCAGCTGAGACCGGGACTGCCTCTATTCCTCTGACATGAGAAGGGTAACCTTGTCACTTTAATTTTTTTTATTTAGTAAGGTATTTTTAATGTTTATTCATCCATTTTTGAGAGAGTGAGTGACCGAGCACGAGCAGGGGAAGGTGAGAGAGAGAGGGAGACACAGAACCTGAAGGAGGCTCCAGCCTCTGAGCTGTCAGCGCAGAGCCCCACGCGGGGCTCAAACCCACCAACTGTGAGATCATGACCTGAGCCAAAGTCGGATGCTCAACCGACTGAGCCACCCAGGCGCCCTAAACTTGTGGCTTTAATTTGCTGTTCCTGGACTAGTAACAAGTTTGAGCATTTGGCATTTGTCTGTGGTTCATTCGTTTCTGTGAATGTGCCTGTGTCCTGTGATCATTTTTTCTTCCTTGCCGTTGTGTCCCTCCTCCTCAGTGTTAAGGCTGTCTTCTCTGTTAAACAAATGTTTCCAGCCCAGCCTGCTTCTCCACACCACAGCACCACCCTCACACAGGCCACCGACTCCTCAAACCCCCTGACCAGTCTCTAGTTCCAGTCTCATCTCCCTCTGCCAACATACATTTGCTAGAATAATCGTGTTAAGAGAGACTTTGTGTACAAATGTGGCATACATACAGAGGTGCATAAATCTTTTTTAGTAACTCATGTAATTTTTTAATTTTTTTTTTCTTTCTGAGAGAGAGAGTGCACGAGCCAGGGAGGGGCAGAGAGAGAGGGAGACACAGAATCCAAAGCAAGCTCCAGGCTCTGAGCTGACAGCAGACAGCCCGACGCGGGGCTCACACCCACGAACTATGAGATCATGACCTGAGCCGAAGTCGGACACTTCACCGACTGAGCCACCAGGCACCCCAGACGTGCATAAATCTTATGTACCCCTAGTGAGTTTTCACAGGGTGGACACGCCCATGCAATCGGCCCCCAGATCAGGAAACCGCACATTGCCATTCCTTTTCTTCATCGTCCAGTTTCTCAGATTCATCCGTGTATTGTTGGCAGCGGCAGCTTACGGCCCCCCCCACCCCCCGCCGGCATCATTCTGTTTCATGGCTGTGTCTCCACTCATTTACTCCACCTCTGCTGGCCATTTGTGTCATTTCCCATTTTCCACTACTACGAACAGTCCTGCTGCGAACATCTGGGTGTCCTCTTTCGGTGAACGCCACATTTCTGCCAGACGACTGTAGAAATGCTGGAGCGTTGTTGCTAAGTCAGCTTCAGCGGATCCCACCAGATGGTCTTCCAAAGGGGTGTGGGCACCAGTTTCCGTTTCCAGCAGGAATGACGGGGCATCCCAGCCCTGCACGTCCTGGCCACACCTGGTACCAAGTCTTCCTCATTTTAGCCACCCTGGTGGACGCGTGGCATGGTAAGAAGAGTATTTTTAAAGCTTAACTCCTCTTGTGACAAGATGAGCCTTGGCTCAAGTGCTCCAGTGTCTCCCCGCCTCCGAGTGAAAGCCCTGACGACGGCCTTTACGTAGGAGAACCATGTGATTTAGTATTCAAATTGGAACTTGATTTTGAGAGCGAAGGTGAAACAAGCAGGGACAAAAGGCATAAATCAGGACTGTCGTAGGTAACCGGGGTGCACGGTCACCCCGCCCATCAGAGCCTTCATGGTCTGGCTGCTGGCCGTCCCTCCTCACTCTCCCTCACTTTATTCTCTCCAGCCACAGTGCCCTCCAGATTCCATGAGTTTAGCAATCATGTTCCTGCTTCAGGAGCGTTCTCCCCAGCGATCGGCACAGCTTGCCCTCACCTCCTTCAGAGAGGCCCTGTGTCGAGGTGTCTCCATGCTTCTGGACTCGTGGTAGTTTTTACTGTCGTTCCATAAAGCAAATTTGTATTGCTCTGCTGCCCTCTGCCCCCCAAACGCAAGCTGCACAGGAGAAGGGACGTGGTCGATTCAGCTCCCTGCTGTGCCCGGCACTTTGTGTCCCAAGTACAGTTCATTATAGAACCTGGGTGGCAGGTATAGAGCTGTGATTGTACTGTATTATATTCTTCTCACTTTTTTACTTGAAAATGTATAATAAAACGTTAGAGAAAACAATAACCTATCTCGTCTTTGCAGCAAGTGCCATGAAAGAGGCAAAGTGGGGTCTGACGGGCAGCATCAGCCTCACCTGGGAGGTTGTGAGAAATGCAGGGTCTTCGGTCCCACCCTGTACCCACCAACTCGGGATCTCTGGAATGGGCCCGGGGATTCAAGGGGTTTTTATGCACACTGAAGTTTGAGATGCGCCTTTTGTTTTGAGGGAGCATGCGCATGAGCAGGGGAGAAGGGCAGAGGGGGAGAGAGAGAATCCTGAGCAGGGGAGAAGGGCAGAGGGGGAGAGAGAATCCTGAGCAGGGGAGAAGGGCAGAGGGGGAGAGAGAGAGAATCCCAAGCAGGCTCCATGCTCAGCACAGAGCCGGACGAGGGGCTCGATCCCATGACCCTGGGATGATGACCTGAGCCGAAATCAAGAGTCAGACGCTCAATCGACTGAGCCACCCTGGTGCCCCAGCACCCAGTTGCTTTGTCCCCATTTTATAGGTGGGGAGAATGAGACCCAGAGAAGAAAACTTAGCAGGTAAGTCACAGCTAGAGGTCAGAGGTGCTGGGATCAGATGTGCTCTTGAAGCCGAGGTCTAGAAGAGTGTCTAGTAATCTACCTGACCTGCAGAATAAAAGGCAAACAGGCTTTCTTTGCCATTTCCGTGAGTCAGGAATATTGGGATCAAAGTGTGGCCCGTTTGCCATTAACCTCTAGTGTGGGAATGTAAGTGCTGTTAAGTTACGTTGTTACCTGTGGGAGTGTTTCTCGTCTCAGCCTGTCACTTCTCTATTTTTGGCAGAAACCTAGGAACCGTGGGCGCCGTGGCCTTGGACCGCAATGGAAACGTGGCCTACGCGACCTCGACGGGGGGGCATCGTGAATAAAATGGTCGGCCGGGTTGGGGACACGCCATGCATAGGTGGGCCCCCCGATGGCTCTGCCCCTTCCCATCCACAGTCACCCACCTGGCTTTGGGGAGGACTTGGAGAGGGAGACGGGGGAGGCTCCAGTTGTCCCCCATGAGCCCCCGAGGGCCTCTTCCCTCTAGCCCCGTTTTCGGGATCTGCAGACTTCGTCCCAGAGGGTTACATACACGAACCCTCTTCCCAGGCCTGGGCTCAAATTAACAAACAGAAAAAGCTGAGAATTTCAGTGGGCAGTTATTGGATCTGAGTGGCATGAAAGCCACACGCTGCTGCTACAGCGACGTTAGGAGTGGAAGTGTTTGCGTGGACACCGAAGCACATGGCCTCATTCTGGAAGCGGGGTGAGGGGCGGGGGTAGGCGTGGCTGTATATGCCTCGCCCTGTGCAGACTACCCGCGTGCCCTCGGGGAGCTGTTCCATGAAAGGTCAGGCCTGCCCTCCCTCCCGGGGCTCCCTTCATCCCCCTGGTTTCAGGGTCATCACCTGGTGCTTTGTTCACACTAAAGCGTCACAGCTACTGATGTTTGTCCACACTTTGGCACTCTTTGGGATTTAGTATTTACGTAGCCTTAGACTTGATCTGTGTTTGACTTTCTTCACTGTTGCTGCTCAGTTTGTCACTTTTTGGGGGCAGGATCTGGAGGTTATGCTGACAATGACATTGGTGCCATTTCAACAACGGGGCACGGGGAGAGCATCCTGAAGGTGAATCTGGCCAGACTCACTCTCTTCCACGTAGAACAAGGTACATAGAACAAATGCATACTGTCTGAAGACGAGTGAACGGAAGGTCTTCATAAATAGGAGGGAAAGTAGATGAAACCCTTTTTAATTTGCTTTAGATGTTCCTTTCAGGCTGTTACCTACTTTGACTTCTTCCCACCTTCTGTTAGGATTTGGAAAGAAGTGCATTTAGAATATTGTCTGCGTTGGGCATCTCGGGCAGTAGACAGACTTTGAGCCTGGGTGTGGGAGAAAAGCAGGTCTGCTTAGGCTGATGTCAGGCTCTGCCTCAGTGCACAGAGGGTCTTTTACGGTGAGGACCCTTCTAAGAAGCATTCACATAGAAATCGTTCGGGGGCACCTGGGTGGCTCAGTCGGTTGAGCATCCAACTCTTGATTTTGGCTCAGGTCATGAGCTGACAGCATGGAGCCTGCTTGGGATTCTCTCTCTCCCTCTGTCTCTGCCCCTCTCCCACTCGCACAGGCACATGCGCTCCCACACTCGCTCACTCACTCTCGCGATAAATAAGCATTTAAAAAAAAGAAATCATTTGCCCAGAATCTTTGTTAACTCACTTTGGTTTTTCATACTACAAATGATTTTCCCATCAGATTTCTTTTTATTGAAAGGTTGTTTCACAGCCTCTCCTTGTTTTCAGGAAAGACACTGGAAGAGGCTGCCGACATGTCGTTGGGTTATATGAAGTCAAAGCTGAAGGGTTTAGGCGGCGTCATCTTGGTCAGCAAAGCAGGAGACTGGGCAGTGAAGTGGACCTCTGCCTCCATGCCCTGGGCGGCCGCCAAGGACTGCCAGCTGCACTCTGGAATTGACCTTGATGAGACCAATGTCACTGACCTGCCCTAGGACCATGAAGATTGTATTCTAGGTGCTATCCTGAAGGGAAAGTCCAGCTTCCTGGTGTGGAGATTTAGCTTAATTAATTAGATCTAGAAATGGAAAATTCTGCAGTCTGTCACTGTTTTGTCGCCTTGATCAATGAGTATCTGAGTGTTTGGTTGAGGGGCAGATCCGAAAGTGCTCAGAGAAATCCCCCTATTAAGGTCAAAGTAAGACTAGTCCACATGACCAAGTCCTGAGTCTTTCTCCTGAATCGGCCCCAGCGTCTTAGGTTAGAAAGAAATGACATCATCTGATGTGACAGCAGCCGCCCGCGCGCAGGGAGCGCTGTCTGATAGTGGGAGATCCCCAGCGGAGCGGAGCGGGGGGGGGGGGGGGGGGGGGGGGGGG